ACAGTTTTTCTTACAATAAAGAATTCAGATGTAGGAATATTATTGAATATAAACAATTGAAAAAGATAAACTATTACATTTACACTAGTACTTCAGAGCACTTGATATATTTAAATGAGAATCAGCATGAAGTATGTTCAATAGCATGAGGACTAGTGACAGATAGATCAAATTCGGGATTTTCTATACTCAAACTGTGTGACCTTGAAAAGTGCAATGGCAGTAATAATAATACTTACGCTATAGAACTTTTCTGAAGGGTAAAAACAATACAGTAAGAGTTAATGCACAATTAGTGCAGAATTGTGTCTATCATGCCATTTAAATGTTTGTTAAATAATTTATTCTTTTGCTAGGTTAAGCTTTCTCAGTGGGTTGTTCCATGGTAGATACATGGATCCTGGATATTTGGAACAGAAAATGGAAAAGGGAACACTCTACCAAGTCAAAAGCAAATTCTTTTTTAAGGCTGCAATTTGCCAATTGATAGTAAACTATTTTGGTGAACTGGAGTGGTGATCTCAAATGTAATAAATATGTATAAATAAAATATAATACAAGAATATCAAAGACACATTACTAATAACTGCTCTAGGCACTTTCAGTCATTTAAATGTTTTAATTTTGCATGAAAGACAAAAATGCTGCTTCTGGTGAATCTTTGGTAGTTTTGTGAAATTTATTAACATATAAAATATATTGCTTTTTTTAATGCTTTAGCAATGATTTCATAAACTAAAAAGTAAAACAATGATTGAAATTCAGTAATTAAATAAAATTATTTCGATGTAGCCAAACTGGAGAAAAGGAGTAGTTTAAAATTTTAGTGTTTAGATTTTGTATCTCAGTTTATTATGAATCTGAAAGAAGCATTTTAGGGAATACAGCAATAATACAAAGTCATTTCCTATAATAGCATAGTTTTGTGGTGTAATAAAAGGTTACATGACAAGGTCAGACTACTTCATTTCAAAGCTAAAAATGATTTCTACTCTGCCCTGAGGTTTGCAGATCTCTGACTGAGTGGTCCCTGGAAGCCTTGTTCATTTTGGTGTTTATATATTTAATGACTATCTAGAAATAAATAAGACTAGTGCTTAGAACCAAGTTTTAGGATGAGCAATTTTTGTGACTATCACGTATTTTTTCTTCTTTTAAAACCTGTAATTAAACATTGGTTTCTCAGGCCTGAATCATCCTTTTCTTATTAACTGATGGTTACTGACAACTGACTTCCACTAGGTGCAGTTCCAGTAGTTGTTAAGTGACCCTGATCTTGGCCAAAAGGCCTCATCTGTCTAGAAATAAATGGGCACTTTTATTTTACAGTTAGCCTTGCTGTGATACTCTCTAGTGACAGAAGCCTAAGATGGAATATTCTGCACTTCATGCAATACATTAACAACAAAAATTCTTTTCACAGAAGAGTAAATTTAGGATATAGCTTTTTATATTGTTGCCTCAAACTGTTATTTATATCTATGGTTGGAAATAATCGTGAAAAATGTATCATTGATTTTTCAACCCATGGATGCTGCAAATCTATTTGAATATGGAATGGCTTGACGCTGTCTCATGTTTTTTACATTACATTATGTTATAATTGTCTGCTGTTCCATAATTTACCTTTATAAAATGTATAAGTGAATAAAATTTTTTATACATTATTAACATTAACTTTATAAGTAAAATTAAGTAATGGAGTAATTAAAACTTGACTGTTCCTGTTTGTCACACTCTGTTTTTTTGTTTGATTCAAATATCACTTCCAGCACTATCCATTTTGTTTTTGAGATGGAGTCTCGCCCTGTGGCCAGGCTAGAGTGCAGTGGCGCGATCTTGCCTCACTGCAACCTCCAACTCCCTGGATCAAGTAATTCTCCTGCCTCAGCCTCCTGAGTAGCTGGGATTACAGGCACGTGCCACCACATCCAGCTAAGACAGGCTTTCACCATGTTGACCAGAATGGTCTTAATCTCTTGACCTCATGATCTGCCCACCTCTGCCTCCCAAAGTGATGGGATTACAGGTGTGAACCACCGTGCCCAGCCAGCACTTTCCGTGTTTTTTTTGTTGTTGTTAGTTTTTTGTTTTTTGTTTTTTTTTCTTTTGAGACGGAGTCTCACTCTGTCGTCCAGACTGCAGTGCAGTGGCCTGATCTCGGCTCACTGCAACCTCAGCCTCTTGGGTTCAAGCAGTTCTTCTGCCTCAGCCTCCCAAATAATTGGTACTACACATGCATGCCACCATGCCCGGTTAATTTTTTGTATTTTAAGTAGAGATGGGGTTTCACTATCAGTTTTTATTTTCTCTACTTTCATTTTCATTGGCAAATTTTTTCCTTACATTGTCTATTTTTTATAAAATGTCACATAAATTCATCACAAGGAGACAAGGAAGCAATGCAACTACACATTATAATTTATGTGCTTGAACTGAGTAATGCCTAGTTATCAATAATTGACAGAATTTGAAAGAAGTGATGTGTGTGTCACTGATCATGATGAACCTCTTTTATTTACATAGTGATTTGTGTACTGAAGTGCTACTAAAGAAGTTTGTACTTTATACAATTACTCACAGTTGGTATACCATGTGAACTGCAATTTGAACCCTGTTTTTGGGGGGTGACTGGTGTTATTTAACTAAACCATGTAACTGAAATTTTTGCATATTAGAACCATGTAAAAAGATGACTGAATATACACTATATATATTCAATTTCATTCATTATCAGAAATACATAAATTGAAGTTACAATGCCATACCACTATACACTTAAAAGAATGGCTTTGGTAGGCAGAATTCTAAGATGACATATGACTCCAGCCCTTAACTTTTCTTCACTGGGAAGATGATATGGCATCACTGCTGTGACTGTTAGTTGGCTAAAGGGATTTTGCAGATGTAATTAGGGCTACTAATAAGTTGACTTGGAGTTAATCAAAAAGAAGATAATCTGGGTAGACCTAACCTAATCACATGAGCCCTTTAAAAGCAGAAAGAATTTTTTTTTTCCCTAGTTGGTAGCAGAAGAAGAAATCAGAGATATTTAAAGCACAAGAGGGCTTCAATGTGAAGGATGTTCCCCACTGCTGAGATGGATGGGCCATAGGCCATGAACCTGTGAGTAGCCCTAGAAGCTCAGAGTGGTGCCTAGACACAACAGCTAGCAAGGTAAAAGGAGACTCGAATCCTGCTACTGGAAAGAAGTAAATTCTGTTAACCTGAGTAAGTCTGGAAGTGGATTCTTCACACAGAGACATTAGATAAGAGCCCAGACTCATTGATACCTTGATTTTGGCCTTGTAAGACCCTAATCAGGGAACCCAGTTGAACCCATCTGGACTTCCGATCTCCAGAACTGTGAAATGATTAATGGATGTTATTTTAAGCTGCTAAGTTTGTGTTAATTTTTTATGCTGCAATAGAAAATTAATACAATAATAAAACTTTAATAGGAAAAAACTGACAAAACCAGGTGTTGGTGTGGATGTGGAACAACTGAAACTCTTTCTCTATTGTTGGCAATGCAAATTAGTACAGACAGTTCTGAGTTGTATTTGGCAGTAGCTACTAAAGCAGAACATAAAACATGACTATATCCTAGAAACGATTACAGCTTCTTGATATTTTTTTCAATATAAATGTGTTTGTGCACTGTTTAAAAAAGTACAAGAATGTTCATAGACAGTTGAAATAGCCCCAAACTGAAAATAGCTTGTGTTCATTATTAATGAAATGTAAAGGAAATCATGGTATATTCACCAGTGGAAAGCCACACAGCTATGAGAATGAACCAGCTGCTACTAGACATAGATGAATCTTATAAGCACACATTGAATGAAATAAAAAACACATAGAAGAATATGCTTGAGTCAGGTGTGGTGGCACACGCCTGTAATCCCAGCACTTTGGGAGGTGGAGGTGGGTGGATCACAAGCTCAGGAGATTGAGACCATCCTGGCCAACATGGTGAAACTCTGTCTCTACTAAAAAATATAAAAATTAGCTGGGCCTCATAGGATGTGCCTGTAGTCCTAGCTACTCGCGAGGCTGAGGCAGGAGAATCACTTGAACCTGGGAGGCAGAGGTTGCATTGAGCTGAGATCATGCCACTGCACTCCAGCCTGGGTGACAGAGCGAGACTCCTTCTCAAAAATAAATGGGCCTGGTGCGGTGGCTCATGCCTGTAATCCCAGCACTCTGGGAGGCTGAGGCGGGTGGATCACGAGGTCAGGAGTTCAAGACCAGCCTAGCCAACCTGGTGAAACCCCGTGTCTACTAAAATACAAAAATTAGCCAGCATGATGGCGGGTGCCTGTAATCCCAGCTACTCGGGAGACTGATGCAGGAGAATCCCTTGAACTTGGGAGGCGGAGGTTGCAGTGAGCCAAGATCGTCCCACTGCACTCCAACCTGGGCGACAGAGCGAGACTCCATCTCAAAAAACAAAACAAAACAAAACAAACAATAAAAAAATATGCTCCCAAAAGAATATGATCTCGTTTGTATAAAGGTCAGAAATAGGCAAAACTTCTCTATGGTTCTATAAATGATGATAGTGGTTAAGTTCAGAGGCTACAGTAGTGTTTGGGAAGGGGTACCACAGGAGGATTTAGGGTGCTGGTGATGCACTGTTTATTGATCCTGATGCTGACTTAGCAGGTGTGGTCATGTTGCAAAGATTCATTTAACTGTATATGTACAACTTGTGCACTTTTCATTCTTGGATGAAAAGCTTTTTTAGAAAAGGACTATAAACTGTTGGCAATACCTTTTCCATCCTGGGCTTTAAAAAAGAAAAATTGCCCAAGGTCATATAGCTAGTGAGTGAAAAGACTTAGAGCAGAAAATATTTAAGGATAATTTAATAATTAATGTTTTAGTAGAATTGGATCTTTTATTAGACTAAATATAGAAAGGGGAAAAAGGAGAAGTGAGACTAGTTCATAAATAATTTTGACATTTACAATTTCTCGGTTTTTTTGAACAAACAGTTTGCCGGGAGGACTCATATCACTCTGTCGTCTCATGTGCTGCAGTAGTTCTTACTCCTATGGAATCAACAATAGAAATGAAGAAAAGAGAAGAACCAAAATTTCCTGAGCCTTCGAAACAGTGAGTTGTTCATTTAATTTTTCAAGGCCTTGTAAAATCAATTAGATAACTGATAAGAAAATGTGATTTATAATAAATGTGTTAATATTAGTATAAAGAAAGAAGAAATAAATTTTGTGCATTAAAAATAATCTATTCTATATTGTCTCAATGAATAACTTCTGTCTTCAATTGTGATCTTAATGATGGCGCTATCAAATGGAAATTGTTTATATCCTACATACCTCACACTATTATTTTGAGAATTAAAAGATAGGTGTGAACATATGACAACACAGTATAAATGCCAAGATAGTGATTAACTCAAAACTCTTGTTTGTCAATGACAGAAGCCAAATGTTAACTAGTTTCAGAAAAAAGAATCAAGAGTGCTGGTGGTTATCAGCTCATGTAATTTATAAAGTACAAAGGTAGCAATTTCTTCAAGTACAGTTTTGGTTCTCAAATGGTATCATCAAGGGTCATTCTATCTACATCTTTTTGCTTGACTCTTCTGTCTGGCGTTTTCATTTTCTGGGAGGATCCTCTAGTGGTGACATTGCTGCCTTCAGCAGCAACTGGGATTGATTTTCATTTTCTCCACAAATCCAGTGGAAGGAGGTAATTTCTCATTCCTTTTAATCAAACCAAAAATAACCCAGATTTGAGTGTAATTGGATTGGCTTTGACTAGCTTGGCTTGTTTGACATGGCAATTCTGAAACAATCGCTATATCCGAAAGTATTTGGTGGTGATTGACTAGATAATTTGTTGTTGCATACAAGCCTTGGAACACAGAATGAAATTTGGAGGGGAAAGGTGATTCCACAATTGACATATTGGTGATATTGATAAAAGAAGGCAGAGATAGATGAGGTGTCAAAATAATGGATGTTCAATATAGGTAATATTATCACCATTAATTTTAAAAGTCAGAATTCTTTATTATATTTAAATCATAAACATTTAAATACTAAAATATAATGTATGTATCTTTATTTCTTATTTTAAATGATTTTTTACCTACTTAATTTTATTTTATGTTATTTGTTCTGGCTGTGCTATTGAGAGGCAGTATAACTCAGTGGTTAGGAATCCAGACCTTGGGCAGATTCTTCCCCCAACTCCCCCAATTTTCTTAACCCCTGGGCACTGTGGCTTGCACCTATAGTCACAGATACTCATGAGGCTGAGGGGAAAGGATCATTTGAGCCCAGGACTTTTAGGCTGCCAAGAGCTATGACCATGCCACTGCCTTACTCCAGCTTGGGTGACAAAGCAAGACTCTGTCTCTGAAATAAATAATAAATAAATCACCTTAACCTTAGTTTGTTTGTTTCTTTTTAATGTGGGAGATACTTTACCTCATAATGCAATGCCTAAAACATAATAGAGAGGCAAGAACATATAAATTGTGTAATTTTTTTGCAACAAACGTAATTGTCAAATAGCCACATCAACTGTTTATAAATGGAGTTACTAAAGCCCTTTATGATATCAGTTTTGTGTATTTTGGATTTCCCATAAGAAAAAAAATACTAGATAGGGCTGGGCGCGTTAACTCACACCTTTAATCCCAGCACTTTGAGAGGCCAAAGCGGGCAGATCACTTGAAGTCAGGAGTTCGAGACCAGCCTGACCAACATGGTGAAACCCCGTCTCTACGAAAAATACAAAAAAACTAGTCAGGCATGGTGGCAGGCACCTGTAATCCCAACTACTTGGGAGGCTGAGGCAGGAGAATCGCTTGAACCTGGGAGGCAGAGGTTGCAGTGAGCTGAGATTGTGTCATTGAACTCCGGTCTGGGTGACAAGAGTGAAACTCCATCTCAAAAAAAAAAAGAAAAAAAGAAAAAAAAATAGTAGACATAAAATAATCACCTACCAATATAAAACTAATGCTGGAAGTTGAGATATTGTCTTTGGATAGCAAATACTTCTTTTTAATTTAGGAAGGAATTACTTCTTTAAGTAAATTTTCCCCTTGAATTTTACAGTCTTCACATATAAATTCATAAATCATTGACTCTTTAAAATATAGGATTCATAGAGTCATCTAATTCAGAACCCAGTAAATTTGTTCCTAAGAATTAACTGTAATAGTCATCTCAGAATATGTAAGACTGTACATAAGAAAGAATATGTAATGCATAATTACATCACTTTAGAAAGTAAAAAACATTTTATGACTGAGATATTTGTATTATCTAACCAATGTTTAGTTATATTCTGATGATAAATATTTTACTTTTGACAGTTCGTTATTAAATATTCTCATGTATTTATTAGTTTTTAGACATTTGATAAGGAGAAATAAGAATTAGGAACTCCTACTAGGAATGAAGTATAAACTTTTCAGCATAGCAAGTGATAGGGAGAAACTATCTAAATCTTTAAGAAGGAAAGCTACATTGCGCCTTACAGTGGGAGAGGACCAGAGCGTTCCACTTGTTGCAATATCTAAAATTCATCTTAATTCAGGAAACAAAGATAGGGATTTTACTTCACTTCTGAGTTTAGTTTGATATGTAGCTCATATGGAAAGGATAAACTTGCTAAAAAATAGAATAATCTATGTAATCCAAAAAGAATGTACAATTTTCAAATGTTTAATCATAAGCATAGAATGCTGGGGTCAAAGCTTTGAGAGTGACTGTTCACAATAGTCAAGTCATGGAATCAACCTAAGTGCCCCTCAACAGATGGTTGGTTAAAGAAAATGTGATATATATATACACCATAAAAAAAGACTGAAATCATGTCTTTTCAGCAACATGGATGGAGCTAGAGGTCATTATCCTAAGTGAAATAACTTAGAAAATCAAATACCACATATCCATACTTGTAATTGGGAGCTCAATAATGGGCACACATGGACACACAGAGGGGAATTATAAATTCATAAAAAACCTACTATTAAAAGTATGCCCAAATATCCAGCTACACTCAGCATGTTCCTCAAAACTCTACTTTTCTTAAGTCAGTTCTATGTAAATGAGCATTTCATGAAATGTACATAGAGCTCAAACTCTGAAGAGAATGAAAGAATAACCATGATTGGCTTTGGATTATATTTTGTATTAATACTTTGTGAGAAATATGCTTGTTGAAATGCAAATATTCTGTACATACCATAGCTCAACGTCTGAAATGAAGGGATTTTTATGGCCATTGTAAAGTTAGAAATGCAGAGGTAAAATAAAAATTATTCTATTCTTTGTCCATTTCCACGCTTTTATATTATTTTATATAAATAAATCTAACTTTAGGAATAGATTTTGATTCACTGTTGACTCTTGCGTAGATGAAGCATTACTTAAACGTATTGTCATTCACTCCAAGTTTCAAGACCTCTTTGTAATGCTTCAGTTTCTTGTCATGAAGTAGGTTCAAGAAACTCCTTCTGAAAAGTCACAGATGTTATCATTTAGTACAGAAGTCTTATTTTTAAATAATTGCTAACACTAACCTATTTTATTCTTAGAGGGTACTTAACACACAGGTTTAAAGTTTTGTCAGCTCTTTTTGTTTATTTATCTGAATGAATAGTACATGTTAGATTTGGAACAGTTAAGTACTCTCTCTAAGGTCACCGCTTTAGTCTCCTAAATTTGTTACACAAACTCTGTAGTTATATTGAAGAGACATCAAAGAATAATATTACAAGCTGATCTCCAATTTTCCTTGACAATCTTCAGGGGAACATATTTATTTATGCCTTTAGGCAGATATGTATTTGTTAATTTATCAAAAATAGGTAATTCTTGAGTGTCTGCTTTGTTCTTGGCACTGTGCATAGTGATAGGGATTTTGTGTTGAAAAGCAGGTGAAATCCCTTCTCTACTAAAAATACAAAAATTAGCTGGGCGTCGTGGTGCACACCTATAGTCCCAGCTACTCGAGAGGCTGAGGAAGGAGAATCACTTGAACCTGGGAGGTGAAGGTTGCAGTCAGCCGAGATTACGTCATTGCATTCCAGCCTGGTGACACAGCAAGACTCTGTCTCCAAAAAAAAGAAAAGAAAAGAAAAAAAAAAGCAAAAGTGTAGCTGTGGCTATAATGTAGAGGTGTATCTCATTATAATCTCATTATAAGGGCTGTGGTAAGAGGTTGTAACATAGCCAAGGAGGTCAGGTAAAATGTCCCTGAGGAAGTGACTCTTGAGCTAACGTCTACAGAATATTAGTTAACTAACTGAAAAAACAAAATAGCTTCTTAAGATATTCTGTGATGGGTGGGAGTGTGGAGAAATTGAAGGAAGGCTTGTGGGAGGAAAAGGAAGCCAAATTATGTTAGCAGGGCCAAGCGACATGGTCAGATTTGCCTTTTGAAAACTTTGTTTGTTTGTTATAGAGAATGAATTAGGTATGGTTGGGATAGTGGTGAAATGGAGCTGGCTTAGGAGAGCCAATTTGATAGCAGTTCTCCCCAGCTCTAGATTCAGTGATTTCACACTGAAAGTTTGAAATCAGCCACGGTGGGTGTAGTTACATCATAGCATTGGGAAATTCTACAAATGAGGACTTTCCTCCTCTCCAGGAGAGCTAGTTAAATAGTTATCAGTACATTACTAAATGGAGGACAGATTGAGTGGCTACAGTGAGATCATTTAGGTGATTGCTGATAGTAGCTTGGAGTAGGGTGCTGGCATTGGGGATGGGGAAATGTGAAAAGAGAACTGTGTCAATATATATTTATGAGCCGTGGCAAGTTAAATACAGTTATTAAACTAATAACTTACAATACATTGCTAAGTATTTGTAATAAGAATGAAAATGAGAAATTATCTTCATTACTAATTGTAATTATGATACATATGTAATATTGTGAAAATCCTAACATGTTATCTTGATTTAGTAATAGTTTAATGAATGGAGAGTCATGATATTCTTTTAATTTATGTTGAGTATTATATCAATTGAACTATAAGTGTAACATGCACACACATAAATGCACTTTGCATAAAATTCCTTTCTGAATCACTGTCATTGATTCTCACTGAAACTGCCCACAATATAAGTAAGTTCCACCTAGGTTCTTATGTAAATTCTTATGATTCTTTACTAACAATTTTCCTTCATTTACCCTCCATCACTTGGTGCCTTCAAATTCTTCCATTAAAAAAATTTGATACTGAGGTATGGATAGCATAAATATCAGGATAATACTATGATTAGGAAACAACCTTCTTCCTCATGCAGGCATTCAAAAGAAACGGATAGTGTTTCATGATTTCAGTCAATTCACGGGTGGAAACAACTATCTGAGGAGAACAGTGAGGAGATAAGATTTCCATGGTGAAAGCTGTTACCTAAATATGGGTCTCTTACACAGCTTTTGGAGGAAGTTAAGGTTGGGACGAGAAACTTTCTAACCTCAAATCTATAGTGGATTTTCAGAAGAATCATTCAGTGCTTCAGATGTGTTCTCTGCAGTTGGAAGCACAAGGGACACATGTGGATTCATGCCTGAGAAATTTAGACTGCCCAGAAAACCTAGAGGGTGAAAAATGGCCAGCTGTGAAAGCAGCACCATCTAGGACTCTAGAGTTAGTCAGGGAGGCTGTAGTGTTTTTGTGAATTATCTGAAGGATGAGGATACCCCATAAAGAGGGACAAAGGACTCTCATGCACCCATGACTAGGGAACTACAGAATACTGGCCCAGAAAGAGACCTTTGAAAAGATCACTTGTGGGCCCATTTACTAGCCCCTAAAGCCAGTTAAATCTCCTCTGACCAAGTACCACTCCCCCAAACTTTCACTCTGGTAGCAGGAATACATTAGCTGTACCACTGAGGAAGCTTAATCTTCAGGGGTCAGCTTTACACTGGGCCCCATATAAAGCCCTAGAAGCGATCCTGGAAATTTTTCCTTCTTTTTTCGTGTGTGTGTGTGTGTGTGTGTGTGTGTGTGTGTGTGTATGTGTGTGTTTTGAGATCCCTCCAGATTTTATAAACTTCAGGGCTCACGTAACCTGGATTTATCCCTTTGTACCATTGCCATTAGATCTGGGCACTAGGGATTCTTGCCTTGGGCCCTGCATGTGAGAGAACTGTGTCACATCCCTTCTCCAGCTGCTCCCCCTTCCATAAGATGTCTTTCCAGAAGGCCAAGGGCTCCCACCCACTAGGAGACTATGCCTTCACCACTCACTCTGTACAGAATTTACTGCTCAAATGGCCCTAGGTCCTCCCCTCTGGAAGACCACATAACCCACAACCCATGGGCTGCAGAGGAACAGTCTATCACT